ATGAATAAAACACCTGAACAAACAACAGAGGATACAGTCCCAAGGGCATTGTGCAGCTCCCTCTTCTATACAGGAGACTGATAAAATCAGCTTCCATACTTAGTTCTTTATTTATTAATCTAGTACACTACTTGGCCAATTGCTTTTATTTTCTTGGTATAGAGGACTTCTGGTGGCAGAAAAATAGAAAAGGGAATTCAAGATAAAAGCCAATTCTCCTCAAACAGCACAGGAATTCTGCCTCATGGAGAGTCCCTGAATTTACCTGGCTCCTCGAGGTGCCAGTCCCTGGCAGAACTGTAAAGCCATGGGCTATTTTCTATCATTAGCCTCTGACACCAGAAGCAGTGCCCAGGGGAGGGAGGCAGGATGAATGCCAGCCAATTCTCAGCATGGCTCTCATGTCTGTTTTGCTTCTCCAACCTCTTCCTCGGTGCTCCTTGAACAGGCACTGTGCCTCTCCACTTCAGGGGCAATGCCTTGGCTGCAGTGACAGAGCACACCAAGGAGATGAGCCATCTTCCTCTTTTTAGAGGGAAAATCAAAGACTAAAAACCCCAGCTCTCCAGGCATGCTTGCAGCCTCATCACAGTGTACTAGACATATCTAGAGTAAAATTTTGCAATGAAATGGACACTCGTAGCAGTGGGTACAGGGTAAGAGCTAACCCTCTGAGAATTTAGCAGATCAGTGGAGAGAAAGAAATAAATGTGAGAGGGGTGAGCAGAAAGAAAAAGGAAAGAAGTTGAGGTATCCCAGCAGTTGCCTTTTCCTAAAAACATTCTCCTTGTTAAATCTCAAGTTAATCATCAGAAATGCATACGTGCTTTGGCCTCTTGTTCTCCTATGCTGAAAAAAGCACCTTGTAATCTCAGACATTTCTGCCTTTCCCACAGAAATATGGCTCATAGATGTATCAGTTGCTGATAGAGTCTGACCTATTCAGAGATGTGAATATTAATGGAAAATGCCAAAAACCCACTTTTATTCATCCACTGGAGGAAGCATTTGTGAAAGCATTGATTCCAACATGGAAGAAATCTCATCTGACCTAGTTTGCTACCTCCTGGCTGTCTCATCTGAGGTTCCACCTGCTGTTTCTCCATCTGCCAGTCTTTTTTGTATCAGAGGAACCTTCTGAGTTACACATTAAATGTCAGGCAGGCTGGAGAAAAGTTATTTATGTCTGCATTTAAACAGATAATATTTTCCATTAAAAATGCATCACGGAGACACTAAAGGCTAAGATCTCCTTTGCTTTTGGTTACCTTAACTCAAGGGCAGGTCTGCTTATGTGAAAAGTGATGCTATTATTTCAGACCTCCGTATATCCAAACAGAACAATGATACCTTGTGAAGCTCATTATTAGAGTCTTTCCCAGTAATATTAAAAGCCTCAAGCTAGGGGCAAAAAAGTATCAGATAATTTAGTTAAAGTCACTGGAACCCAAAACCAGTGTCAGGGAACCATCTGTCTTCTCCCACTTACCTCCTAAGGTATTTCAGAGCAGAACACAAAGAGTTACTTTGGATTAATATATGAATAAATATATATTACCTGAAGGAGTAATTACCTCTAAGGTTGCAACACCTAGGGGCAACCATTCTATTTAAACCCAACATTTGAGGTATGGTATTCTGCCAGTATATAAGACCACAGCTATGCTGCAAAAGTCTGGTAAAGACTTATGTGTGGGATTATTATGATATCTTTGTTTTTCTGCTACTTTTACTACTCTTAGATATTCTGTAAATTACCTTTGATCACCTGATCTCTGCTGTCTTAGTTCTGTTCAGACTTAAGAGAGGCACTAGGAATCATCCAAATTCATGTAAGTCAACAAAAACACCTCTCTTTATTTTCATTGAGTTAGGGCTCAGAGCCCTGAAGCATCACCCCCATTGCATACCACCTATCTGATTTAGGTACTGTACAGCCAGTGCCTTAGGAAACTCTAGAATCCAGGCTTTCAGCAGTAATTTTATCCCTAAAAAGGATAAAGAAAAGAACTGGAAACTCATCACATCAGTACAGATTGCCACATGGAATTTTTTATGAGAAGATCTAATGTATACTGGAGCTATAGGTGTCCTAAAACACCCACCTGAAGCCAGCAGGAATCTTTCCACAGATTTCAGTAAACTTTGCATCAAATCTTAGGGGCAATTAAGAAGTTCCATTTGGTATATATATATATATAAATGCTTGGTATAGTAAGATTTTATGAATATGTGTAGGCAGCCATTCTGTACCTGTCTTCTGTTGTGTTCCTGGAATAATTTCAGCCATTAAATGGATAGCCCTGAATCTTCCAGTCTCACAGTTCTTGGAGGCAGAAGTCTCTACTCTGAGTTTGCTGCAGCTGATGGATCCACTGTCCATGTTTGATTCTTCATATATGAGAATCCCTGAGTCTGGGCCGCCCAAGCTATGAAAGCTAGGATGAATAAAATCTGTGCTTCCTGAAGAGATGCAGGCATGTTACTTTTCTTTGAGCTTATGACATTGCAATTTACCTTAACTTGTCTACAGCTGTCTTGAGGGAATGAAGGAAAGTCTTGGCAGGGAAACAAAATTACTTGAAAGTCATTATATGTATGTATGCACGTAACACAAGTATTAACACTATGATTTACAGTAATAAAAATATTATTACAAGGTGTTTAATTAGGAACCATTATAAGACCAATTAAAGTTGTCAAACTAGAACAAAAAAGCCACATGTGTTTTTCCCCTGGAGTACTAGGATATGCTGAGGCTCATTATTAGCTATTTATATAAGAATAGAAGACTGCTTTTGATTTAAGTTAAAATCCAAGCTCTTAAGAAAAAAAGAGCTCCAAGTTATATTCCTCTCTGGCAGACATTGTTTAAACAAATTTTATCTAAACATTTTCTAATTCCCAGAGTAGACACTTTAAAAAATCCGAATGCAGCAGTATCTATTTAGTTCAGCTTTAGCAGCCAACACAGTTCTGACATTTGCAATCCACACGTCAGTATTCATCTCAAAAAGTAAGACAAAATCACTGCAGAAAGCAAGACAAAATGGCACTTAGATTACCTGGAAAGGATGGTCTGACAGCCCTTACAGGAATCTAATTAAAATGCAGCATGTTACCAGAACAATGCATCACACTGTGCTGCCATAGTAACCAGGGGTCCCATGGACTTTTGGGGCCATCTGAGGGCACATTTGCAAGAGGCACAAGAACTAAACTGATCACTTATAGTACATTTTAAATTACCTAAAAACTCTAAATGATCTGATGTTAACCAACGAAAGAAATTAATTAACTCTTACATTTTCAGACAATGGACCAGTCTCAGGAGCAGATTTATTCTTGTTGCTGTTCTTTATGGCATACTGCTCCCCATAGCTTATTTAAGAAGTGCATGACTTATTTGCAACATGTGAACAACCAGTTTAATTTGATTCCCTAACAAAGAATAGAGCAATTAAGACCTAGAGGGCTGTGGAAGAGAAGACGAACAACAGAAATACATATTCTACTTAGGCTACTATTTCCAGAGCTATTTTCTGAAGTATTAAGCATGAGACTGGTCTCAGTTGTTGCTTTTAGTGGATGAGTCCCTGCTGCCATGCTGGGGAAAAAATCACAATACAGCACTGGGCTTTTCTTCCCAAATCCTTCTCCTAGAATAGAAAGATCATAAAACAACATTAATAATTATAAAAGCAGTATCTTACATTGTGTTCTATCCTGACTTTCCAGGGATACAGTCAATAGATTTGTCACTGAGGCATTGATTTTTAACAGTAGAGGCATCCAAGTCAAGAAATTCTTTTGATGCACCACCTCTGAAGGAGACTGCAAACTGTTAGTGGGTTGTTGCAGGCTATCATGGAAGATTTTTGCTAAAGATCACAGGACTTTAGGCTCCATTAAGCAACTAAACTATTGATGAAAATGCCTGCAAGTTGTTTGAAACGATTAAAGGGAATTTTAATTGCTTTGAAAAAGATACAGAAATTCTTCTGAAATAAATGAAATTCCTTAGAAATACAGGGTTGGGACTGGGGGGTGACATAGGAAATTGAAACACTGGTTTTCTAAGCACAGAGAAACCAGTGTCTCCATGTGATTCTAGTATTACACAGTATTACACCATCAACTCTCACTGTATACAGCTGGGATGGGTTCATACTTGGAAAGATCTGTTCCACATTGGGCATGCTAATACCAGGGAGGCTGCAGAGAGCCAGAAAGGAACTCAATTCAAGAACAAGTTGGAGAGTTCAGCCTCCAGGGCTTTGGTCCTCTTTTTGTGCAATACCAGGGATATGCACTATGTGGTTGTGCCTAAGTTTCCCATTTAGAAAGCCAGACAATGATACTTACCTGTTAACCAGACCACTGAAGACTAGCTGTAAGGGAAGTTCAAAATCCTGCTCAAGACTAGTGAACCTTAAATACAAAACTACTTCAGGTTAGAGGTAACATTAGATCCAAAATAAATAATAAAACAAGATAGTAAAAACATCTCACATTTAAATCTTTTTTCTATATGGAAAAATGCCCAGGCAACATAATAACTGAAAATTAATCTGTCTAAAAACAGATAGTAGACTGCACTTTTTCTAACTGGAACTTTATACAAGACAAATTCACTGCAACTAATCCATCACTGTATACCCCAGCACTTTAACAACCTCGAAACAGTAATTCTTCAAAGGCCTCATGATTTCCTGATAATCTGCTGCAGCCTGTTATTAATGACTTCATTCACTTTCAGGTTGTCCTTACAAGAGAAAGTTTATTAGCCTTACAAATTAATCTATTTGGTCAACAATTTACTCCAGTTGAGGTAGCAGCCCTGATGCTCTCATTCTTCACCATGGTTTTTTGCACAGACTGGGCTGCCATTTGCTGGTTTTGTTCCTCCAGTTCCTTTACAAGAAGCAACAAGTCTGAAGGCTTTAACAGGGCCTTTTGGAATGGAAAGGTGGTGTTAGGAATCATCACTAATTTAGAAATTCGTTTTTAATGGGTTATGTTTTATTTGCTTCAGTTGAACACCATTATTTACAGACACAAGTTAATAAAACACATCACAAAACAATAAAATTTCAACAGCTAATATTTATAGGTGCATAGTTCATGCTCAATTACTTTTTTTTATATGTATAATACATACACATATATATAAAGCTCTCACAATAAGTCATCTCTGCACAGAAAGAATAGTCATAGGAAACAAATAAAAATGTATCATAAACAATATCAAATTACTGACAGCCTATCAACAAAACATGTACAGAATTAGAAATAAGCATTAGACACTTAGGTGTTTTTACTTAAGATTTTCTTTTTTAACTTTTAAACTTGAAGCCACAATATCCACAGCACAACAATGACCCTGCCAACCGGTTTCATTTCAGCAGGAGGGAAATGCTGAAACAAGGTGGATGCGGTCACAGATACTCCAATCATTGCTGATGGAAGACTTCAAAATACACCGTAAAAACTGTAAAAAAATTTTACGACTGGGCACATTGGAACTCAGCACTTGTACAGGATGGGACGTCTTTAGTAGTTAGTAGATCTCAGGTGATAAAAGGAAGAAAAGGACTCTCATGCTTCAGGTTCATAGTCTTGATACTCTTCCTAATGGGGAGAGCAGAAATCAGCACTGCTAGTATTTTAGATAAATACATCCTACTTTCACTGTTTATTCTAGTCCTGGTGGATTCAATGCCAATATAGTATGGATTCTCATTTGATCAGGATCTTGACATTTATTTGTATTTTGTCACATTTTCCAGATCCTGTACCTTACAAGATATGGTACTTAGAAGAGAACTAATTCTCACTTTTACAGTGACTAACACGTAATTCAGCTGATGCTGCCAGGAACTCATGAGGCCACCCATGAAAATTCACTTGCAGACGGAGGAGAACAACCTCTGGGCTGAGCAGCACACCAGGTGCTGCGGACCCTCATACAAGTCACTCAATCATTTAAAGGAGTCTTTAACTATAGACACATGAGCAGCATCCAAAATTTCACTGATAGTCAAGATGTTATGCTCAAACGTGCCTTTAAGTCTTTTACTGGATCATGGCCTAAATTTTTTATACCTCTCATTTTCAGTCTAATTATCTGCGCTACCATAAAACTGCTACTCCAACTACTCATGCGTCATGCCAGATATTGCAGTAATATTTTAGATAGCTGGTTCATAAAACCCAACAAAATAATTTACTCCCATAATTGCATTAACTTAAGATCGTGTTTTACAAAGCATGATGGACTGGTAAGTGGCCAAGCTATTAAAACAATCTATCAAGATGCAGTTTGTCCTGCATTTGCTTTTAAACATACGAAAAAGATACAAGGTTACTGTGCATTAGTCAGAAAACCAGGATCAAGTGTTCTGAAACACACACAGTATTTTCCCATTTAACTCCCTTACTAACAAAAATAGCAAGTAATTTTCTGATTCCCGGCACTACACCTCTGGCAGACCTTGGCCAAAGAGGCCACAGTTCTGCTGTGCCCTTGCAGCTCACAGCATCAGTGTGTGCCGGGCTCACGTAACTCAGGCGTGCAGCCTCCTCCCGTACCCTTCTCTTACATGCATTCACTGCAAACACCACAACAGATTTACCTCTGGAGGCATTTCATAAGCCTCGTTCTCAGGATCCACAGGAACATCTGAATTATTCACCATTCCCTCCTGTAGGAAACCTTCTTCATTCTACATTTAAAATAGGGAAAGAAAAGTGACAGTGACTGCTTGCTTCCCCACCTAGGCCAAAGCGCGTTATTTCCTCCCTCTCAGATTTCTTGGCCTGTCCTTTGGTTGTGGGATTGCCAGGGGTTGTGAAGAGCTAGAGGACATTAGTTCCAGAGAGATCTTCTCCGTGTTCCACAAGGGTATCTGTGGGAATGACTACTATCATCTCTTGGAATAGTTGAGATTCCATTTCTCTCTTGCCATGGACAGATCATGAAGTCAATCCTAACAAAAGAACAGTACCACTATCAACTTGCTGAATACCTTTGGAAAATATTTTAATCCCACAGAAAATGCCTTGGTCAAGACAGGAAGCAAACCAAAACAAGTTTTTTTGTGCCTTAAGAAACTGACCTGGGAAACAAAGTCCTATGCAAACTGTTTAAGCACCACATTAAGTTATCACGTTAATTCCTGTTTGACTGCTTGGGGTAATACAGTCACAGGTACGTAAAAGTGCCTGCAGGCCAGAATTGGTTAGTACCAAGACACACAAATGAAATCATAATTCAATTATCTATTTTTTAATATTATAGACACATCCACACCCTCATAAATCTTTATTTTAAAGTTTTGGCTTTTTCAAAATACATTGCAAAGTGGCCAAAAAAAGGAAAGCTATTATGACTTAGATTACTGCATGTTGGTTTTTTCTTCACTTTTAGAATCCAATTGTACTGGGAAATGCTTTTTTCCTCTAATGGGTCATACCTCTACATTCTTTCCTATGTCAACCAGCATGTTATTCTATGCACTATTAGTATATGATACATGGTATAATATAATACCTGTCACTCAGCTTCTTTCATTTTTTTCTTTATTACAGAAGCACTTCTATTTTATAAAGCAATTTTAATAAGAGCCTCTTAGAATTAATGGGATTGCAATGGTGTAAAGAATAACTTGCTGAGTAAGATTATTAAAGCAAACTTATTATTGTCCTAGAACTATAGATACTATTTACCATCTGAAAAAAGCACAAAGGAAAAAACCCCACATTTCAGTTGGGCCAATCCCCATTGTAGCTGTTACTACAGAAGTTCACAGAGAAGAAACATGAGTTCTGGCAGAGCAAAAACTGCTGGAGTTCATCCTGAACTGTAAGAAAATTGATATGAAAACAGGCAGAGTATCTCAGTGGAACTATTGTGATCATGCTGATTTATACCAGCTGTCGGTCTAGACAGAAATGCACTAAAACACAATCACAGACACTCAGGAAGAAATTCACTTAAAAAAACCACCTGCAGGCTGGTAGAGTAGACAGAAATACAAAATTAAGTAAGTCACAAACCAGACTAATGAGGTAATTCTTCAAAGTCTACAATTTAAAGGATAGTGGTGCGAAATTAAATTTAGGATACAGACAAAATGAGGGTAAGAGAAGCTAAACCTGAAACTCACCTCTGCAAGTTTAACACAAAATAGAGTATAATACACAAGTTCACCATTTGCCATGTATTGGCTCCCTCTGTGGTTTAACCAGGTGACCATAGTCATAATGCTCTGTTCCTCATTTTCTGCACCTCCCCAGATTGTGACTTTATCTGCCAGATAGTAATCCTGTTCTTCCTTGGATGTCACCTTTTCTGATGCATATGTGGGTACATGTATTTTTTACCCTTATCATCAAAGTCTATGATGTGCAGAATTGATTTCCATAACATGGATTCTTCTCTCTAGCTCTTATTTCAGACTTCAGAAGGTCAAATATGAAGTTATCTGGTCCCATTGCTTCTCAGTGGAGCCAGATAAGTTTTTTCCTTTATAGATAAACAGTACAGTCCATGTGGAGTCAATACCTAATAACTATTCTGCCAAGTACCCTCCGTGGGTGTGCCTGCTCTGAGTCAACATCCTGCACTGCTCTATGGTATAGGTAACACAGACAAATTCCAAAGAGCCAAGGGATGCCAACAAATAAGTTTGCAAATACCTTTATTTAGGTATCTAATAGGTACCTTTGTCTCCCAGAACTGCCAATAATTTGGGGTTTTCAAAAGGTAATTGAAAGATAATTTTTCAAGTAAAAGGTAATTTTTGAAGGTGAAAATGAAAGGTAATTTTTCAAGTATGAAATTATCAGAAAAACTAGGCCCAATTACAGTTCTGCCTCAGCTTATCAAAACACTTGAGCTCCTCAGATGACCTGATCTTCATTTTTATTTAACCTAGCTTCTAAATAAATTTTTTAAGGGTATTTATGCCTATTTACTCTTATGAGAAGTAGCATCAATCCCTACCAGCTATGACTGAAATAGCCAAATAGTGTGCATGATGCAAATTTTAAAGCCCTTACTGCGCACTTGATCTAACGTATCAGCTCTAAGGACCTAAACCTCCAGCCTCCCACTCTCCTGTTTAATCCAAAATATAATTTAATTTCTGCTTCTCCCAATCATTAAGGAACAGCTTCAGCTAACAATCAAGTAAAACTGTGCACAAGAACAGTTGGGGTTTCACAAGAAAGAAAGAAAGCATGCAGCTTAATGTTATCTCTAGCAGGAAAACAGATGGCAAGGGAAACTGCCAGGACCATTAGTAAGGACAAAGAAAGAGACTTGCCAGTCGAATTTCAAATAAGAGCTTCAAAGTTTGTTTACTGTCTGTTAGGAACCTCTGCCATGGATCTGGACTGTCCATCAGGATTACAAAGACGCAATGCCTAAAAGACTGAATTTACAATCTTCCCAAGTTCCTTCAGCAAGTTCAGGATGGAGATTCCTCTACAGCTTCAAATAAAACAATCAGCAGCACTAGAAAAATACAACATCAATCACAGCACCATTATTTTTTCAAATGAAGCAAATCAAAAGCTGTACCAAACCACCAAGGGAACTCTTTGCCTGGGATAGGTTTATCACCTTTGTCCAGCTGCAAATAGTAACATAAACATCCCCATCCATGTTGATGTCACTGCAGTTCAGATGAGGATGATATTACTCAAGGTCACATCTGTTACATTTAAATGTAGAGCACAGGTGACCGCATAATTTTTAATGGTGGTGCTCTCTACTTCTGAAGTACCATTTTTTCTAATTTCAGGATATCACAAAAGCAAACAAACACCCACAGTAACAGAGAGCCATCTAAGGTACATCTTATATCATAATTTACCTCCTTTAAAACAAAGAAATGCAATTTTACGTACTCGTGATCAATAATTCCATATCCTAATTCAGTTATGGAAGAGGAAAACCACCCAACAGACCAATTCTTGTCTTAGTATGAAAGACACATTTTTCTCTAGAAGCAGCAACCTCTCTTAGACCACACAGAAGGTCATTTCCAGAGGGAAAGGTTTCTATTAGATGATGTGAAAAGCTTAACTAAAGACTCTCAGAGATGAAGGTGCTGTTATGGCTCCAAAATGTTGACTCCTCCTCCTTTACTATGGGAATGAATTCTGCTAAGCTCTGTGCATGACAGTGTGAAATGACCCACTTTTGCAATAAAATAGTAATGGAACTAATGAAAAAGTCCTCCTGAAGACCCAGTTAAAATGAAGACCTGTTAAAATATAGACTCTTTGACAAAACTTCAGGACTATTCCTTTTACCAGGAAAATGTCACCAGATGGGTTTCTCTTATTTCAGTGTTTTTGGTGAAAATTGCACCTCATTCTTTCCCTTTGCTCTCTTTCTCACCTCATAACACTCTTGGTGGAAGGGGAGAGACTGTTTGGGATCTTCTACACATGAAAAACAGACCAAATGGTCTGCCCATGGTACTGCTCCTATGTCAGCACCATGTAGTGATGGCACCTTCAGGAGTGTGCCTTCTGTCCTCTCAGTGATGTGTGCTGGAATGCCAAGTTATTGCCACCAGAAAGAAAATATGTCTCAAGTCACAGAAAAAAACAACTTCAAAAGGAAACATTTTAATTGTAATTTAGCAGCTGATCTAAGCATTACAATCCGCTATCTCCCTGACTAATAATGTGTTTTCCTTCCATTATGAATACTGAAGGAGTCTTAGAGTCATGCATATTCTCATGATTACTGGAGACTGATTCCTTCTGCAGTGATTCCACATTCTGAGATAAATAAACCAGGCTACCAAACTGTCAGCTCTTAAAACATTTATCCTGCCAAGAGGTGATCACTCTGGAAGCCACTAATCACAGAGGTCAGAAGACACCTCCAGGTATTGTCTAGTCCACCTTGAGCAGCTTGCTCAGGGCCATGCCTGATCGGATTTTGACCATTCCCACAAATGGAGACTCCATAATCTTGCTGGATAACCTCATCCAGTGAGAAACCTTTTTCTTACATATAAATGGACTTTCCTGTATTTCAATCAGTGCCCACTGCTTCCTGACATATCACTGGGCAATGCTGAAGAGTCTGGTTCAATCTCTACCGCCACTGCCACCATATATTTATACTCACTGATAAGCTCCCCCCATAAACTTTAGGATTCACATTGTTTCAGAATTGCTGATTTTCTGTCTGTTCTTGAGACCTCTATGAAATTTTCCATGCAGATATTGTGGGAGGACCTTTTCTCTAACAGAAAGCTCTACTGTTCACATTCAATTATATACATAAAAACAAGGTGAAGCTTGTCTCAAACACCTAAAAAGTTAATGCAACATGAGAAGTCATTGTTAGTTTCAACAAAATAGATTATTATAAACCAAATGAGCACTGGTCACACTACATCACTTGCCAGTCTTATTTTGTGTCTTATAATTACTGACTAACTGTGAATCAAGATAAGAGGCACTATGGAAAAAGCAGTGAATTGGAATGGGGAAAATGCTGGTTTACAAGGTAATTTTGGTATACCTCGGTGTAAAGACCTTTAAAGTCCCTTTTGGAAAGTCCTTTAAGACCCCCAACAAAATGTTCCATGCAAAGCCATTTTAACGCAGTCCAATTTGTTGTTCGTATACACGAGGTGGTGGCACCAGCAAGAGCTCAAAATAAAAAAATACACATCCAAAGCATTATTATCTT